GTGCCTCTGTATGTAACCCTGACCAGTACACCTGGAAGTAACCCTGACCAGTGCCTCTGTAAGTAACCCTGACCAGTACCCCTGGAAGTAACCCCTACCTGTGTCCTCATAAGCAATCCCAAGAAACTCAATGGCTCCTCAAGCTGGACTTGAATGAAACTGTTTCTTTGGTCTGTCGGTGCCTTATTTAGGGTGAATAGATATTTCTTTGTTTCCCAAAGAGAAGTCATGCAACACCTTCCTCAAGTAGAAGCTGTCAGTATTGAGGGATGGTGGAAAAAGAGGAGGCAGGGGAAAGTTAGGTAGGACTCAGCATATGACTGAGCAGACAAATGGAAACACTACTCAGGGAGAGGGGAGAAGGTCAATCTGAGTAGTCCCTAAGTACTTCTGCATTTAGCCTTGGGCTGGGTGGAGTCAGCATCCCTAGGGTCTGATCCCTTGATCCACATAAACAAAGACATGTGGAGATTTAAACTTCTAGTATTAGGGGTGGGGAACTAGTTTAAAGCAAGACCATTCCTTACAACGTGAGACCCTCAGAAAGGAGAAAATCAAACATGGTAGAAGTTCAAGGTCTTGGCTTGGTGGATTATGACCCAGGAAGCCAGAGAACTGAACAGAAGTGAGGCCAAAATTCATGCAGTAGAAAATAACAAAGACTATCAACAAACAAGGCACAATTCCTCCATGTCCCAAAAATATACATCTCAGATGATACCTGAAATATAATAATTTGGATGCCAAAAGGAATGGGCTGCTTATCTAGTAACACAATCGGGTGCCCTAGGGTCTATACAAGAATTGGTAAATGTACAGCAAACATCTGACAGCTTACTTGTTTCCAACCATGGCACACAACATTACTCAATCTTGGACTCTCAGAGAAACATTCCTCATTTTGCTTTCACAAAAACAACTTTGCTGTAGAATGTTGTTCTGTATGCTGTGAATATGTGTTGCTCTGATTTGGTTGATAAATAAAATGCTGATTGGCCAGTAGCCAGGCAAGAAGTACAGGTGGGGCAGGTAGATGAGGAGAATTCTGGGAAGAGGAAGGCTGAGTCAGGAATCATGGGCCAGACACATAAGAAGCAAGATGACAAGGCAGAACTGAAAAAAGGTACCAAGTCACGTGGCTAAACATAGATAAGAATTGTGGGTTAACTTAAGTGTAAGAGCTAGTTAGTAAATAAACCTGAGCTAATGGCCAGACAGTTTGTAATTAATATAAGCCTCTGTGTGCTTACTTGGGGGATGCAAGTGGGAGAGATTTGTCTCAACCACAGGAAAAGGACACAGGAAAACCTTCAGCTACACAACTTAAAGAAGGAAGGGTCACCAGGGTGATAGCACATACCTTTAGTCCTAGAATTTGGGAGGCAGAGGCAAGAGAATCTCTGTGAGTTCGAGGCCAGGCTGGTCTGCATATCAAGTTCCAAGCCAGCCAAGGCTACATAGGGACCCTGCCCAAAAACTAAAACAAAAGGCAGAGAAGTTTAGTTTGGCTTAAGTTCGGCTTACCATCCATCCTAGTGGGGATGCTGTGAAGGCAGGAGCTTGAGGGAGCTGATCACAACAAGTCTGCAATAACATTGGAGAGAGATGAGTGTCAGTGCTCAGCTGGGACACCCACATGCCATGGAATGAATATGGTCAGAGAACAATTTGCAGGAGTTTGTTCTTGCTTTCCACTATGTGGTTTCTGGAGATCAATCTCAGATCTTCAAGCTTGTTGAGCCATCTTTCCAGGCCCAGGACCTCAGATCATAGAATGGTACTGCATTTTCAGGGGAGGTGATTTAGAAACTGCCTCATAAAAGTCCTCAGCAATTTGTCTCCTTGAGGTTCCTAAATCTCATGAAGTTATAAATCAAGGTTAATCAGCACATTGAATACATCATGAAGGTGTTCTCATGCATGAGCATGTGGGCATGCATGTTCCCAGGTGTGTGTGTGTGTGTGTGTGTGTGTGTGTGTGTGTGTGTGTGTGTGTGTAGGCTGGGATCAACCTCAGGTGTTGCTTATGGGGTGCCAACCACCTTGTGTTTTGTTTGGTTGGTTTTGGGTGGGTTTTTTAAATTTTGTTTTATTTTTGTTTTGTTTTGTTATGATAGTTTTTCTTTTTCTTTCTTTCTTTCTTTCTTTCTTTCTTTTTTTTTTTTTTTGAGACAGCGATTTCTCTGTGTACCCCTGGCTGTCCTAGAACTCACTCTGTAGACCAGGCTGGCCATGAACTCAGAGATCTGCCTCCCGAGTGCTGGGATTAAAGATGTGCTCCACCACTGCCTGGCTTTGTTTCTTTTCTCTTTTGAGACAGGGTCTCTCAGTTGCCAAGCAGGGCGGGCTGGCTTGCCGGCTGTCCTTGGGGACCTCCTGTCTCCATGAGCCCAGCACTGGAACCACAAGCACCCCTCAAATGCAGAGCTTTTTTGTTGTCTGCGGCGGCAGCGGGCTCTCATTATGTCTGCGGCGGGCTGATGTTAATCCCTAAGACCACCACCACAATTTAAAGCCAAATTTGAAACATGCTTTAATTAAATACTGGCCAGGTGGATGGGCTCTGGCAAGGTCTCTACCCAGGTTCCCAGGAAATGGCCCAAAATCAAGTATGGCAAGGACTTAAGGAAAACCCTGCCTGGCGGTGGTGGCACATGCCTTTAATCCCAGCACTCAGGAGGCAGAGCCAGGCGGATCTCTGCAAGTTTGAAGCCAGCCTGAGCTACAGAGTGAGTTCCAGGAAAGGTGCAAAGCTACACATCACAGCATTTCCCATCAGGGCCAAGCGTACATCCTAACTTATTTCTTGCCTATGTCCCTCCTGCCCACATGTGATCAAGCTCATTCAGTGCAGATGGGTCAAACAAACTTGTTTAGGGGAGTGAAAGAAAACATGGGGCTTGTTATCTCCCATAAACACAGCCTCAGCATTTCAGGAACTATCTGTCCTTGGGCAAGGGGCTTGCAGATCAGAGGCATTTTTGTTTCACGGATCTCTCAGGCATAGTAATTAAAACTTAAATGTAACTTTGGCTCTCACGCTGACTGGAACTCACTATGTAGCTTTGGCTAGCCTAAAACTCACAGAGATTTACTTGCCTCTTTCTCCTGAGTGCTGGGATTAAGGCTATGTACTGTCATGCCTGGCAAAGGTTTTGTTTTGTTTTTCTTTCAACATCAGTTTTGGGGACTGAACTCAGAGGCCTCATGCTTGTATGACAAGCACTTTATTGAGGGGCCATCCTCCCAGCCCTCCTTGTAGATACTTCCTAAAGGTACATTTTTTTTCTTATTTTAAAAAGAATGTGTGTCCTTGTAAAAACAATGAGCAGCAAAGGAGAGAAGAACCATGGAGAACAGCACTGCCTGAACCCGTGGCTCTTACAATGGTCCTCCCGCAAACTGGGGCCTCTGGCACCCGAGCATGGTGAGTTAAAAGACCCCGAAAAGTCTCTGAAGCAAATCCCCTTTGATCTTCTTCTCTCCTGTATCTTGTTCCTCTTCCTCCCCCAAAATGAGTCATAGAAACCAGAATTCCTCTCCCCAAAGGCTAGCCATAGAGCCAGAGCACCTGCTCCAACCCAAGCCCTTTCTCCCTTGAAGGTGCTCATTCCAGAGAGATCCTGCTCCATTCCTAGGAGGAAGAAATGCTACAGTGGCCAGAAAGGATCTGAGCAGACTCCTTGCTGGGTTTCCCAACTCCGTCAGTAAATATTAGAGCTGTTGCTCGACCTTGTTTGCTTCTGCGTGGCCCTCCATTCCTCACCACACCTGATCAAGAAAGCAGTTTTCTGAAGGCTCCCATGTCACGGGAAACAGATTTTTTTAAAGTGTTCTTTCCTCTTGCTAATTTATTTTCTGTTTCAGGGCTGCCGGGGTGTGAAGAAACGGACCACAGCTCCTGTCCCTGCAGTACTTTCACATCTCAAGTTGTCACTCAACCTGGTATCATTAGCTTCTTATTGTGTTAGGAATTATACATAAAAATCAAGCCAGGCACCATGGCTCATCCCTGTAATCCCAGAACTTGAGGGGCAGAGGCAGAAGGGTCTCTGTGAGTTCAAAGCCAGCCTGGTCTATATAATGAGTTCCAGGCCAGTCAGGGCCACAGTTGAGACCATCTCTCAAAACACAAACAACGGGGCTGGAGAGATGGCCCAGAGGTTAAGAGCACTCACTGACTGTTGTTCTTCCAGAGGTCCAGAGTTCAATTCCCAGCAACCACATAGTGGGTCACAACCATCTGTAATGAGATCTAGTGCCCTCTTCTGGCTTACAGGAATACATGCAAGCAGAACACTGTAAACATAATAAATAATTTAAAAAACAAAAACACAAACAACAAATCATCTTCACCAGTTCATCGCACAGCTCAGGGATGGTTGTAATATTATCTTTTGATTGTTCTCATTTTTATTTATGTTGCTTCAATTCTTTATCTTTATGAAATCAGAGCAAGGGAATATATTTGAAAATACTCATTTCAATATTTCTGCCAGTTTTCTTAAGCTGTAAGAAACAGAGTCAGGTGGTGGTGGGGGCGGCGGTGGGGGCGGCGGGGGCGGCATACACCTTTAATCCCAGCACTCAGGGGAGACAGAGGCAGGTGGATCTCTGAGTTCGAGGCCAGCCTGCCAACCTGGTGTAGAGTGAGTTCCAGGACAGCCAGGGCTACACAGAGAAGCCCTCCCTTGAAAAAACAAACAAGGAAGGAAGGAAGGAAGGAAGAGGGAAGGAAGGAAGGAAGGAAGGAAGGAAGGAAGGAAGGAAGGAAGGAAGGAAGGAAGGAAAAAGAAAGAAAGAAAGAAAGAAAGAAAGAAAGAAAGAAAGGAAGGAAGGAAGGAAGGAAGGAAGGAAGGAAGGAAGGA